CAGAGAAGGCAGAGCTACTGAATGCCTTCTTTGCTTCAGTCTTCGGTGCTAAGACTGGCCCTCAGGAATCCCAGGCCCGGGAGGTAAGAGAAGAAGCCTACAGAGAGGACGACTTTCCCTTGGTCGAGGAGGACTGTGTGAGGGATCGCTTAAGTGATCTGGATGTCCACAAATCCATGGGCCCCGATGGAATGCACCCACGAGTGCTGAGGGAGCTGGCGGATGTCATTGCTGAGCCACTCTCCATCATCTTTGAGAGGTCCTGGAGGACAGGAGAGGTGCCCGAGGACTGGAGAAAGGCCAATGTCACTCCAATCTTCAAAAAGGGCAAGAAGGAGGACCCAGGGAACTACAGGCCGGTCAGCCTCACCTCCATCCCAGGAAAGGTGATGGAGCAGCTTATCCTGGAGGCCCTCACCAAGGGGAAATCATGTCTGACCAATCTAATAGCTTTCTACGATGACATGACTGGCTGGGTAGACGAAGGAGAGCCATCGATGTTGTCTACCTCGACTTCAGCAAGGCTTTCGACACAGACTCCAGGGAATTCCCCCAGGACCCGAGTCTGGAGCTGACAAAACTGCCTCTAAATACCACCCTCAAGTTTGATACCACTAAAGTAAAAAGAACAGTCTCTTTTCTGAAAGCTTTATAAGTGGTCTTATCGGTCACTCCCTGGAGCAGTATTACAGCCAGATGCAAGGCACATCTGAGGTACTAGAAACATGTTATGCAGCCACAAAGATACGGAATTTGTGCAGGTTTAAAGCACAATTTGTATATATGCGATATACACGTGTACTGGGTTTGCGTGACAAGGTATTGGTAGTGGGTGGGGCTACAGGGGTGGCTTCTGTGAGAAGCTCCTAGAAGCTTCGCCTATGTCCGATGGAGCCAGTGCCAGGAGCCTCCAAGACGGACCCGCCACTGGCCAAGGCCAAGCCAATTGGTTACAGCAGTAGCACCTCTGTGAGAACACATTTAAGAAGAAAAAAAGAAGCCTGCATAACATTTGCAGCTGGAGAGAGGAGTGAGAACTCTGCAGGCATCAAGGTCAGTGAAGAAGGAGGGGAGGAGGTGCTCCAGGCACTGGAACAGAGGTTCCCCAGCTGCTTGTGGAGAAGACCATGGTGAGATAGGCTGTCCCCCTGCAGCCCATGCAAGTCCATGGTGGACCAGATATCCACCTGCACCCTGTGGAGGACCCCATGCCAGAGCAGGTGGATGCCCGAAGGAGGCTGTGACCCAGTGGGGAGCTCATGCTGGATGAGGCTCCTGGCAGGACCTGTGGACCTATGGAGAGAGGAGCCCATGCTGGAGCAGGTTTGCTGGAAGGGCTTGTGACCCCGTGGGGGATCCATGCTGGAGCAGTCCATTCCTGAAGGACTGCACCCCGTGGGAAGGACTCACATTGGAAAAGTTCATGGAGAACTGTTTCCCGTGGGTGGGACCTCACTCTGAAGCCGGGGAAGAGTGTGAGGAGTCCATTCCCCAAGGATGAAGGAGCAGCAGAAATAATATGTGACTGCAACCACCATTCCCTGTCCCTCTGTGCTGCTGGAGGGGAGGAGGTAGAGAATCTGGGAGTAAAGTTAAGTCCAGGAAAAAGGCAGGGGTGGGGGAAAGGTGTTATAAAAATTGGTTTTATTTCTCATTATCCTGCTCTGATTTGATTGGTGATAAAGTTAAACTAATTTTCCCAAGTCAAATCTGTTTTGTTCTTGATGGTAATTGGTGAATGATCTCTCCCTGTCCTTATCTTGACCCATGAGCCTTTCATCATATTTTTTCTCTCCCCTGTCCTGTTGAGGGGGGGGAGTGGTAGAGCAGGTTTTGTGGGCACCTGGAGTACAGCCAGGCTAAACCACAACAATAATGCAATGTAATCAACCTAATTGACCTAATGCAACATAATTAACACAGTTGGAAGTGGAATAACTGCACATACTTGGCAGATGCAATTCACTGTTCCTGAGATGAGTTTCCTGTTTAACGCTATTTTGTCCCCCACAGAAGTTACTTATACTTTGCAGGATTAATAAGAATAGTTTTTTCTGTGAACACTAACACAGAGGATACTGAGGAGGGGGAGCTGGAGAGCAGGGTCTGGGACACTTATTGCTCCTGTAAGTAGGGAGGCAAAGAGCTAGCGAACAATTACTGTGCTTACTTACATCTGCTTTTCCAGTTGAATAGTTGGATCTATTCTCTCTCCCAGGATCCCACAAAATTCTGGACTGCCATGTTTGATAGGTTTAAAGCCTCCTCCAGGTGCTCTTAACTGCCTGCGCTGGTCATTTGAGGGAGAAGGAGATGCTTGCCGTTTCTCACTTCCATTAAACTGGGCTGCAAGATACACAATAATTACCTCTCCAGACAAGATTAACAAAGACCAAAATAGTTGTAGCACTCAGAGAGGTTTCACACTTCCCAGGCAGGATAAACACACACCCCCTAGCATGAAGATGTAGTGGCTTATCCACAAAGTTAGAAACACCTTTACATGATAACGTCTAACTATGCAAAATACAGTTCTAAACTCTCTTGCTTTTCCAGTAACAAAATCCACAGTCTTGTAAAACTAGTTACAGTAACTAGTCCTTATCTTAATAGTCAATACCTTCTTCCCCAACAAATAACACCGTTAAACAAATAGCAGTTACAAAGATAGGCTTTCAGTCATCTGCTATAATTACAACAACAAAGTGCGAACATTAAGAATCCAGCGTGCCTTAGTTTATGTGGTACCATCCTAACAGTGATCTGGGTGCAAATCCAGACAGCTAACACCCATCTATCCACATCAGAAATACTGGTAAGCAGCAACGAATTAAAAGTATATCCACTTATACGATGCTGGCACAAACCTTTTGACTTTAAATAATAGAGTACGAAGTGATGAAAAGGGAAAACAGCATTTTAGATTCTCTCACAAATTATGTTATTCCAAGCTGTAACTTCTTAGAGCACTGCAACAGCTGTAGCAAAGCACATACTAATGATGCCAGCATCATTCTACACTTACTACACTTCCAGATTCTACATGTCTCTAATTTCAAAAAATTAAAGGACAGAATATTGACAGAAACAATGAAAGGAGCTACCCCACAACATCTTCTTGACTCTCACTGCCTTCTACAGTTTGCTTCTTCATCAAAAACTGACACTCCCAGCTGCAGATAGATTACTGTTTTAAGGCCATCTAGTGGGGACCAGGCACGAAAAACTTCACTGTATCAGGAAGCAAACATCACAATCCAGACAAACACACACAGCACAATCAGCTCCTCTGTGAGTTTCAACAGCAGTATCAGAGAAAATGTAACAAAGGGCAATTAAAGGGACTCCCTACAACAGCATATTGAGGATCTCATGCATTTAGAACTCAACTTACTATAACACACAGCCAGTTAGGCTTGTGGCTGCTAGTACTCACCATTTTAAAGCAACGCTATGCAACAAGACGACAGCTGTAATGTTCAGAAAAATAACCTATACAGAATAGAGATGTGTTGGATGTGGGAAGTGTTTTGGAGCTGTCTGTTTGTTATTTTTATGCGCTTTCCTCATGGAGCTTAGGACACGTCAGAATTCCCCTTCTACACAGAGAAAGCAGGCACAAATTATTGCAAAAATTGGGCAAATGTATACAATCGTATTCTGAAGTATGCATCGCAGAAATATGCTGATTATTTCTTAAAATAGAAACTCAGATTTAACCTCATTATTTGATAATAAAAGCTGATTAGCATAACAAGGAGAAGCATTGTATATATGTACTTGCCAGTGATGTGTACGAACATCACTATTATTTCAACTATAAGAGAAACATCTGGATGTAATTTGGGACCTCTGTGAAAACTGGTGAACTTAATGTCGTCTCCTGACCATGCAGCATCGTTCAGACACCAAAAAATTAATTCCACAAAACAAAACACAAAACTCAGTTCTGACTGTAAACATCAATATCTTTACAACATAATGGTTAGAAGTAGGATCTGTTCTCAAAGAAGAGTTAAATTTCAGATGCTTTTGAATATTTTCTATGTCTGAAAAGCTCAGACACGTCTCTGGACTCCTGCCCTATTTCTTTTTTTGTATGTGTGAACTAAATTGGCAGGAAGAAATCTGAAAAGGATATCCAGGCAGCTTAAACTGGCAAGCGTGATACCCAGTCAGCTACCAATCTACGCAATGTTGTTATGAGGACTGAGTTTTGGCTGCTACAAATCCCCTCTAAACCTTCACTGTAGTAAATACAGTGAAGGTTCAGAAGCTCAATTCCATGCAGCTGAGAGTGTAAAGTTTTTTATTTCTATGCTACTTCTGTTTACAGAGCCATTATGTTGGAAAATAGGATGAGAGATGTACGGGGTGGGGGAGAAGTATGTAATGTATAGGGGTCTGTCTACATGATGTTTAAGAATGATAAGGAACTTCACAAAGATTAAGTAGAAACAAAGAACTGACTATCAGAGGCCCCAGGCAAGAATCAACTCAAGGACATACAACTAGCACATCCTGAAGAAGTGCATACAAACCAGCAGACACCAGTCGAAACCAAGACAAGGAACTTGAAAAATCCACGAATTGCGCAGTGAGCCAGCTCAGACCCAGACCACACGTGTAATCACTATGCAAGCATGATAATTAGTTCCAGGAAATAGAATAAATATGTATGAACATTCTGGAAAACTTAATGCACATGCATGTAACAGGGTGATATAAGCTTGAAGTGAGGCAACATATGGCATGCACGTTAGGCACTTCACATGCATTTCCTTTAAGCAAAGGTTTGCTATCACCACATCTGCCTGGAAAGGCCTGATTTCTCACACACTCAAATGGGAGCCTGTGTCAAACTGACATTCTTGAATGGGCTCTCCAGTGTTGCTAGCTCCTTTTCCAGCCAGACTTATGTACAACAAAGCTACCTTGTTCCTGTTACTTTGCCAGCCTCGGCTCTTCTGAGCAAACCAGTTTGCCCAGCTCAGCAAGAGGTCTAACAAGACCTGCCCACTTCCCACAAAAACCATCAAAACCACTTTTCAGCTTCAGCTGTACAGCTGCCAATGGGAAAAAAAACCACAACACAACTGTTTGTGAAAGAACTCCAGCTGTAGACAGGCATACTGCTTCACTCCACATCTGCTACAGAGAGACATATCTTTCAGCAGTGCAGTTAACAGAAGTTCCTGGGGTAGGCTATACATAGCCTGCACCACAATGTCAGCACAACACCAACCCCAGCCTCAGACTTAGGAGCCACAGTGCAGACAGGTTCCCATCAACCTGAGCAGACCTCATATCTTGTGCCCACTTTCAGTCTGACACATCTCAGACTCCAAGTTGGACCTAAACAGGTTTTCTGCATATTTCAGCAATAAATCTTGAAATCATGGCAGAGGAGCAAATGTTTTCCTTAAAAGACTTGCATGGGTAATTAACTTCATGATACTTCTAGTGTTGCTTGCCATTTTGGTTTGTTTCCTATCACCTGACAAATCAAAAACATTTACTGTAAAGGTCTCTCTGTGTCTGTGCCTCACATCAGACATCTGTTCCCTTCAGATGAGCTTCATGAAACAGGAAAGTTTTAGCAGAGGGCCTTTCATGTTCGCAGCCTCCACAACTCCAGGTATTTGGGGATGGTAGTTGTGGGCCTGTATAGTAGGACTTGCCCACTGTTAGAATTTCTAATACCAGACCGACACTGTGCTCTTCAGAGAAATTTACCTCAAACCTCAGCTGGTCTAGCTACATTAGCTAGCTACGTTACAGGGTAACAGTACACAAAAAGTCAGAAAAGCACCTGACACATCTCAGCAGAGGGTCAATACTTCTCCACTGCAAACTTCCTAGTGTTCAGCTTAGTTCAACTTCTACTGTTCAATCTTAGCAGTTGGAACTCGTTTCCTTATTTTGAACATTTATAATTCCTAGGAGTTAGACTAAGCATACAGACACCAGATGAGGAAGCATCTTGAATCTTGCAGCCAATCCTTACACACTGCTTTGAAACAAATAACCAGATACCTAAGACATACTAAGTTACAACAAATGACAGATGCAATCAAAGACATCTAATTAATCTCAAAAAATGTTTACTCTTAGCATTTTAAAACAGAACTCTGCATGCTGAACCCATAGGGAATTCAACCATACTTTGTAATTAAACAATATTCAACATTAGTTTTTAATTAAACTTTTTTAATCTGTTACTTTTGCAAAGCAATGTTTTATTTTAGTGTGCTTTCATATGAGTTAACTACATGATGTTTAGAAGAATATTTACTCGTAAGCCAATCATAAAGTCTCTTATTGGATGGATTGTGCAGTATTAATTTACAGTTACATGTAGGCAAACTAAGAACTACAGATGAAGAAAAAAATCAACAAAATTAGGATTCCTGTTTTTAAAATCAACACTCAAAAAAAATTTCAGTATTTACTCAATAAAGACCAAAACCGTAGGCATGAAGATGATTACAGAGCTCAAAGACTTAACAAACACCAAATGAGCTGTGTACAAAAGATATGCAGTAGAAACTAATAAATTTGTTCTCTGGATTCAACGAATTAAAAATCAGCCATTTCATATAATATGCACAATACCTGAAGAATAAGGTCTAAGATACCCATATGCACACATATGACTCAAGACAATAACTTTTAAAACTAATAATCCCGTTTCTGTGACTGTATTACTAATCACGAAACCTGTAAAGTGGGATCTCACTGCAGACAGACGTGTACCGGTCCCACAGCTTGCATTTCAGTGTTACTAACAATGATGTTTCTAGTTTAGGCATTCTGCATGCTTTGAAAGCAAAACTACTTCTGGGTAGCACACAATCACTGTCCTTGTGTGGGAAGCTCACAATATCTCTGATATTACTCTTAGCCTTTGGAAAATTATTAAAACTAGCATGCAATGAAAAATACAAGTCCCAGAATCCCTGTGCTACGCTAAACCACAGAAACTAGCTGCAGAGAGATAAATAGCCCTAAAGAATTCCACCTTTGAAGACTTAATCAACTGCTCAAGCATTTGTTCCTCCCAGCTCTTTCATGCAGTCCAAGGGCTTTACCTACCCTCTTACCTTCAAACAAAATATTCTTTGCTTGAAAGTAGCTCTAACCCCAAACTGTCCAAGAACACATGCAAGAATGGCTGAACATGCCTCCAGCTAAGCAAACACTGGACAGGTTGGCAAAAAATAACTGGAAGCCTTTCAGCTAACACAGTCAGCAAGAATTCACTGTTCAAGCTCCCTTTGCAGGAGGTCTTCAACAGTAGTCACTGTAACCCAGACATTTCATAGCACCTGGCCCAGGTGAGAGCGCTAGAAGGATGGAGATGAATAAGGAAGCACACCATCCTTCTTCCTTGTGGGCAGAAATGGACACACAGGTAACAGAAGATGGTCTTGGGTGACAGGGAGCTGGTGTCTGAAGGTGGGAGAAGAGAAATCCCAAGAAGATGTAAGAAGGTAACAGAGTGGGACCAGGTGTCAGGTAGAAGGACGAATGAGAGAGTCTAGACATAGATGGAGTTCTGCGGGACAAAAGAAAGGGGAAAAAAAGAACACAGACAGAAGAAAGAAAAACAGTCAAGAAGTAGATGTGGTAGCAGAGGGAAAACGGTGGAAAACCCTCCAGAATCTGGAATGGAGAATAGAGAAATTCCATGGAAAACAATGCAGAGAGCAGCCTAAGACCCACTGCAAATCCGCTGCTTGTGGCTCTGCACAGCCCCTACAGCTGTGCGTAGCTTGTGGATCCCTCCAGGTAGCAGACACCCTACCTCTATAACAGAGTGACTGTGGACCACTTTGCTGTGTAGTAAGGCTCACCTGTCAGGAGACGGAGGCTGCACATATGCTCTAGGCAAAGGCAACATTGCTGCCATCACGAGGACACAAAAAGGCATGGAAATATCTACTGAACTGGGGCAGACACCAATGCCATAGCATACACCCAAAGCAGAAGGCTTTACACACATATGCCAGGATGATATTCAGCATCTGCAAAACAGCCATTGTGGCACTGGAAACCTAGTGATACAGATCTCTGTTGATCAGACTATCTTGACACAGAACAGATATCTCAAATCATAGCCAGCACCTCACAGCCAGGTAATCTCCCAGCACGAGTCCTGCAAGCATTTTAATTGGTCCAGCAAAGGGGATGAATCAGCTCAGACAAGCCTGAGCCAAAGCTTGCGTCCACCATGCAGAGGTCAGCAGCAGAGCTGTATATTCCACTATAAGCCATGCAAGAAGGTTAGACTTCTGTTCATACTCCTTAAGGAGAAAAACTACTTTAGCTGCACAGGCTCGAAAGAACTGTCATATGATTAATGGGAAAGTGACTGAGCCTGGAACTCTGCAAGACTATTAACAGCTCACATGCCAGAGTAAACCATGCTGTTAGAAACTAGAAATCTAACCTCCTTAATGTCTAACCTCCTCTTATGTTCCATAGGAGCCCAACAAGAGGAAAGGTGATGCTAAATGAGAGGTTTCTTTCCAAGCAGCTGCTCAGGTTTTTCTGTGTGCCTCCTGCTCCCACCCATGTTTCACAGGAGGGGTACTGCAGACATCAGCTTGGCTTGGAACCAAACCCAAATCAAACACATCCTAAAGATGAAAGAATAAATGAAGCAGAGAGGCAGAATCACTCTTACAAAAGATCACCACTGCTCTACTCCACTGTGACAGAAGAGAAACACATTTCTGTCACCCATATCCACCTAACCTGTTAGGGGACAAGTGAGAAACACCCAAGAAGGGCATTGTCACAACAGGGTCTGTTTACAGAACAGTAGGCCTGTATAGCGGTGGAGAGAAGTCACTTCTCATTTCTGTGGTGAAGAAATATCACAGCACACAGATTTGCAAAATCATAGAATACTTCATGTGGAAAGGGACCATGGGCGGTGTCTAGACCAACCTGCCTAAGGCAGGGTCTGCCGTGTGATCGGATCAGGCTGTTCAGAACTTTGTCCAGTCATCCCTTCACACAGGATGAAAAACTCTAAAGATGAGCTCCCTGGACAATTGGTTTCAATGCTTGATGGCCCTTGCAGAGAGAGAAAGAAAAAAAAAAATCCTATATTGAGTCAAAACCTCTCCTGATCCAACTTAAGTCTCATCTTCCCATCACACACCTGCTCATTTGTTGAAGAACCTGTCTCCATTTTCTTGAAGATCTCCTTATAGACATTGGAAAGTTGCTATTACATCCCCTTAAAGCTTTCTCTTCTCCAGGCTAAGCAAGCCCAGTTCTCTCAGCATCCCCTCACATGTCACATGCTGCAGTTTCCTGTCATTTTGGTGGCTCTCTGCTGACATCAATATTTATCAACATCCTTCTTGCATCAGAATACTGGACACTGCATTAGACATGTTGTCCAAGAAAAGTGACATAAAGAGGAACAGTCCCTTTGCTTGATCTACTGGCTATGCTGGTGTTCACACAGGTCAGTATGCTGCTAGCCGTCATTACTGCTGGGGAGCACTGCTAGCCACATTTAGTCCACTTACCCCCAGGACTCCTTAAGCCTCTTCCAGCAAAGCTGTAGCCCAGCAAGTTAGCCGGTCCTCAGTCCATATAATTTCACAGGATTAGTCTGCTCCAGATGCAGGTCTTTGAGTTTGTCCTAGTTGGATTTTGTAAGCTTGTTGTCAGCCCATTTCTCCAACCTTTCCAGGCCCCTTGGAATGGCAGCTCTGCACACATATACCCTCCTCCCTATTTGATATCATTTCAAATTTGATGAGGTGCATTTCCTTTCCTCCTCCTCTGGGTTACTGATAAAAATGCTAAACAGGAAGGATTCCAGAACAGATCCCCTGAGGAATCACACTTATAGACAGACTCCAGGAAGAGTACGAAACACTAAGTACTACCTTTTGTGGTCAACAACCCTGACAGGTTTTTATGCATCTAGTAGTCTACCCATCTAGACTACAGCATTCCAAATCAGGTAACACCCCCGATGGCACAGCACAGCATGCTGAAGGCTAAAGTCAGCACATATGACAACCATTGCTCTCCTTCCATTAAGGGATCTAGTAGTTTCAATGCAGAAAGCAAATAGGCTTGTCAAGCAGGATTTACCTAGGGTAAATGTACACTGACTACACTGCTCTCAGGCTTCTTCCATGCTCTTTCCCAGCACTACATCTCTTTTCTTCCCTCCTCATCCCTACAGTCATCGTCATACACAGCTCTCTTTTCCAAACTTTTTTGCCAACCCAACTCCTAAAAACGAAGGAGAACAATCCTGTTCCTAGATACAGCTTTTCACTAGAACATGCCATTGAGAAGAAAAATCATAGACAGCTTATAACTCTAACACCCCGCAAGAGATTCCTGGAAGATGGTCAGAACGAATGACACAGATGGGCTTTGCTGGGCACACAGAGGCTCTACGGAAGAAAAAGCCTGGCCTTTAGAATCGCATCCTCACCAAATGAAGCCATCCTCAGCCATTTCTGCAAAGCAACAGAGGGGGGGGAAAAAAAAAAAAAAAAAAAAAAAAAGAGCGCAGTGTAACCAACATCAAGCACAGACATTCACAGAAGAAGAAAACAGTTTGTGTCAGATCTTCCTGACTGACAAGTTCTGATATGGAAGAACTTCAGCAGCTGAAAAAGATTAATCCAAAACTAAGTTTTACACAGAAATGCTTGCAATTATAACGAAAATACTGTAAATACCAAGAAACTCACCACTGAGTAGAAGCATGTTACTGCATGCATATTACACAGCTGTTTTTTGTCTTGCCTCTAAGAACTGCCCCACAGTTTAAAGGCCTTGCAAAGCAACTCCCTCATCATAAAGTCACTCGCCAGTAAACACTATCTAGACCACAACCATTAAAATGGGGATAGGAGCAAGGCGTGGGAGAAACAGAACTTTTATCAAGTGAACCAAGCATTGAGATGGTTGACAACAGGTCAGCTTAAGTACCAGACAAAAAGTGCAGTGTTCCACATTTCTGCAGCAGGCAAAGATTTGACACTACCCACATTCACTCATCAGAAATCGCTTCCCCCTCTCCATCCCCTAGTCAAAAGAGCAGAAATACTTGAATTCTCCTGAAGGCAACTACACATGCTATGAGTGTGAAGAGAATTTCCTGGTTGGGATCCAAGAATCCTACCTGCCAGAGCTGGGATGGTGACTTTGTTCCACTCCCATGGCTGATCATACTCGTCTGCAGGCCTGTCATCATCCTGTGGCAATTTGCTTTCTCGTAAACAGTGACTCACCACATCTTCAGAATCGGATTCCACATCACTACCCCTGCCTTCTGGTTCATAGGGCATGTCATAGAGCTGCATGTTTTTCTGATGCGACTTCATGCCTTCCTGCTTCTGAAACTCTGTTGGCAAGAAACAAAATTGCATCAGCATCACTACTAACCATTCTTTATCATTACAGTCAATAATTTTAGAGCATTCAACTTCCATCCATTCCTTAAGAGCCATGTAATTATACAGATGGCAAGCTTGTACAAGACTTCTAAATTCTACCTCTACATGAGGTAACTGGCTGGAAGCAAAAGTTTGCTCCAGCTAACAACCACAACAGTCTCATGCGTCCACCAACGTTCCCTAGCTTGCACAGAGCCAGATTACAAGAAGCCTGTGTAAAGCATACTTACATGCAACTGTATATAAATCCTCAAGAACACTGAAGTTTGTGTATGCGATTGTTCAAAAGTGCAATTCGAAGATATGAATATTGCAAAAAATAAATCCAAGAGTATAATCATAATGCTGATTTAAAAATTCCCTGCAGTTACCTTTACAGAAGATCAGCAGAAAATAAGCTAGGACTAGAGTAAGGACACTAAACAAAAACATTGATAACTAGAGCTTAGCTCACATTGTATTAATGAACATGTATTTTTTTTAAATTAACACTTACTTAAAAGAAAAAAAAATAAAAATGTTGAAGCTGCATAGAAAGGAACCATGCACTGCCCTCCTGAATACAGCAAACCAAAAACTGGGCTTTGTTAGGAGGAGCACAGCTAGCAAACCAAGGGGCAAGCTGTCATGCCTGCACCGTTGGCCCCAAGCAGGCTACACCTACCAAGAGGTCCGACTGCATCCAGTCTGCACGCTCCTTACAAGGAGTGTGCAAGGAGTGAGCTAATCCATAAAACTAGAAAGGAGGAAAGTGCAGAGCTACCAAGATAGCAGAGTCCTAGGACCGGGGGTCCATAAGAAGAGATGGTTTTGGTTAGTCTGATGAGGCTAGACAAAGCCAGAGTGACTCCACCTACTGATACAAAACTGGATGGAGTGGGTGATAGACCAGATGGCTGTGCTGCCATTCAGAGGGACCTGGAGATGCTGGAAAGTTGCAGGCTAACTGGCTGGAAAGCAGCTCAGCAGAGAAGACCTTTGTGGTTCTGTGTGATCATGAGCCAGCAGTGCACCCTTACAGTAAAGGGGGCCCATACTAACCTGGGCTGCATTAGGAAGAGTGTTGAGAGTAGGCCAAAGGAGGTGATTCTTCCCCTCTGCTCAGCACTGGTGAGGGCACAACTGGACTGCTGGGTCCAGTTCTCACCTCCCCAGTGCGAGAAAGACACAGACATACTGAAGCAAGTCCAGCAAAGGGTCACGAAGGTGATAATGGGCCAGGAGCATTTTTCAGATGAGGAGAGGCTGAGAAACCTGGGACTGGTCAGCCTGGGGAGGGTAAGTTTCAGTGGAGACCTTATCAATACCTGATGGAAGAGAGTGAAGATGGAGCCAGACTTTGCTTGGTAGTGCCTAGTGACAGGACAAGAGGCAACAGGCACAAATCAAAATACATGAAATTCCATCTGAACACAAAAAAACACCTTTTTACTGTGATAATGGTCAAACATTGAAATGGTTCACCCGGAGAGGCTGCGGAGTCTCCATCTCTGGTGATGTTCAAGACCTGACTGGACATAGTCATGGTCAAACTGTTCTAGCTGATCCTGCCTGAACAGGGTTTTTATTATATGATATCAAGGGGTCCCTTCCAGCCTCAGCTGTTCTGTGATTATCCTGAACACTGCAAGGATAAAATAATAATTTCATTAATTTCAGTGAATTACAAAGTTACTTAAAAAAAAAAAAAATACTTTGGGAGAAGGGAGAGAATGTTTTAACCTACAAGTGAAGCAAAGATTCAGAGCAGTTCTCTCCATTGCTATAATAAAAGTCATTCATCAGTTTATCTATCAGCAAGAACATTATAACCAAGTAATTGCTCCAATTTTAAAAGTACTGTGAAAAGTCCACAATGTAACAGTGTGCTTATTTATTGGGAAAAAAAATACTAAGTTTATACATTAGAAATACTGTAAACTTGAAGAAATATACCTCAAAACCAATGATGTAAATATAAGAAAGATAGGTCACAATAATTCCTAGTTACGAATGATAACCACATTACCACCTTTTAATACAAGCAAAACATAGAAAAGGGTATCTTAAAGGGCAGCTTATTTGAAAAAAGTGCTTTACACCTTTTCATTTAAAATATAGTCTTTGTCATTGAGCTATCTTTTGAAAAGAATTCTGCTCAAGGTAAAATGCTGCATTGAGAAAAATTAGAAAGAACACATAGCTCTCTTGAATTCTCCTGGGTCAAAAAGATAAACATTTTATTTCTTCTGAAGTCAGAAATGTGGTATGTATCTGTGCGTCTTTCAGTACTGTGAAGCCAGCCACTTCTACACAAGAAGTGTGCATTTCTGAGCAACAGAAGCTATGCTCCTACCAGATCAAATGCTTTACAAAAAAACCCACAAACCAAACCAAACTATTCATTTTAAGTGTCAAACACAGCTATATCACTGGCTCCTGGTTTGTGAGTATATTTCAATACAGGAGCCCGCGATTAACATTTTTCTTCTACCCACAGGACCAAAGCATCAAACTGCACAGAAAAGGTTAGCTGTAAATAGAAAGTGGTATGCTACATATTTGTGGTTCATGTTCAGGAACAATTAGAAAAATTACAAATATTTGATTCCAAAGCAGGAAAGTTTCTCTAGGAGAAACTAAAACCTAGGTAGAGCAAAGAAGTGGAAGAAGGAGAATATATATACATGCATATATAAAAATATACATGTGTATACACATGCACACTCACACACACATACTTACATACAGCCTTTTCTATAAAGCATCCTATAAATTTTCTTGAACATCCATCTTTTACTTAATATATTTGAAGAATATTTGTAAAGAGATGGACTTTTTTATTAAAAGTTACAACAGAAACAGTTCCTTTCAATAACAGACAGCAAAGCTGTATGCATACCACAAACAATATTAGCATTATACACACTGATAGCTCAGAGCAGACTTAATATTTAAGAATTAGGTAGTTGAAGACAATAGAACACTTGTAATGAAGTTTTTCTCATGCTTTTCACACAATCACTAACAAGACATCTTTAAGTGCTGAAATAGTGACTGGAATGACCAGGGAGACCAAAGCTGTGTTAATTTCTTTTTTTTATTTATTTTTCACTTTTATTAATTTTATCCTTTGAACTCCTGCCACTGATAAAGTACATTTTTATAGAATTATGCTCATTAAGTTAATTAACTAATAGAAGAAGAAACAACTGAAGTTTTGAAATAACTTATTCTGCTAGCAGGCTGGAAAGACCCACATAAATAATTCTTCTTCTCACAGAATAGCAGCTGTAAAAGAATCAGGCTGCAGGAGTTTGGAATCCTGTGTAAAACCAAGAACCTGACCAGCAAGGTACAGAAACTGAGACATCCGGGACCACAAGATAATGAGATACAATACTGAACTTCACATTCTTCTTCCCATTTGGTGAACAATTCTGACAAACACTCATATACAGAACAGACAAAGCTCCACCGGACAAGCAGACAACCTCATGGTTACCTTTCCAGCAGCCATACTAAACCTCTTAACAGTTGTCACCGTTCAGAGCAGGGCAGCAACAAAGAGTGGCAAATGCTCCCTGTTAACCCCGCCCTCCCACCTGCGGAAGGGAAAAAGGAGGAAAAGGGAGAGAGACTCACAAATTGGAAATGAAAACAGCTCTTCTAATAACACTAATAATATTAATAACAACAGAAATGAAACAAAATACAGAAAACCGACACTGAGTTTCCCAGAGCTGGGTGCCGGGCGCTGGCGTCCCGCCAGCCGCTGCCGGACAGCCGCCGCTGCCGGACAGCACCAGGAAGTCGCGGACTGGATTCCGCAGCAGACAGGGACTGGACTCAGAAATGCACGGATCAGAACCTGGATCAGGATCGCAGGCAGGACAAGGAGCAGGGTCCTCTTCAGAAGGCAGCCATTGACGAAGAGAGCGAGACCCTCGTGATCCCCCAGCTTTAAACTGAGTCTGATGTGCATGGCATGGAATGTCGTATTGGTCAGTATCGGGTCACCTGTCCTGTCTGCTCCTCCCCACAAGTGCGACCCTTTATGATTCCTCACTTGCAGAACATAAAAGGTCTGTTGGTGACCTTGGCTGCTGTGGTAAGAGTTATAAAGAGGGGCCTTTTTCTGCATTTCATTCCTACCATTAGCTCAGTATAACTAAACATTAAATGTTATCAGCTTCAGAGTGGACGCTCTCTGTGAAATACGCAGCCAGCTACAGAAAAATGAAGTTACTCAGAAGGACTTAGATGTAGGGACTGTTTTAACCAAAACCAGGACAACAGTCTTAAATAACTCAACAGCATTACTCATAGATGCTTTGTATACCTGAAGCGAGTTTGGAGAGAATTAGGGCATATAAGATATGGATTGAGCACTGGCTGAATGGCAGAACTCAGAGGGTTGTCATCCACTGCGCTGAGTCTAGTTGGAGGCCTGCAACTAGAGGGGATCCCCACGGGTCAGTACTCAGCCCAGTCTGGTTCAACTCATTCATCAATGACCTGGATGAAGGGACAGAGCGTACCCTCAGCAAGTTTGCTGATGACACAAAACTGGGAGGAGTGGTGGATACAGCGGAAGGCTGCACTGCCATTTAGCGAGATCTGGACAGGCTGGAGAGTTGGGCACAGAGGAACCTCATGAAGTTCAACAAGGGCAAGTGCAGGGTCCTGCACCTGGGAAGGAACAACCCAATGCACCAGTACAGGCTTGGGGCGGACCTGCTGGAGAGCAGCTCTGCAGAGGGGGGCCTGGGAGTGCTGGTGGATGACAGGTTGACCATGAGCCAGCAGAGTGCCCTTGTTGCCAAGAGGGCAAATGGTATCCTGGGGAGCATTAAGAAGAATGTGGCCAACAGGTTGATGGAGGTTCTCCTCCCCTCTACTCTGCCCTAGTGAGGACCCATCTGGAGTGCTACGTCCAGTTCTGGGTTCCCCAGTTCAAGACAAGGTA